ATACGGAAAATATACTGCAAAAATCCATCAGAAGTTCTCTTAGTACTCAATTCCATCAATAGTTTCCGATTTAGATAACTTCGTTGGCTTAAATTTTCCAAATTTCAAGGTACCTTGCAGAATAATTCATTGGTAGTAATGTTTAAACGTTTCTACTTCCGCATGCCCTCTCTATCTTCACCGTTCTGTTGGATTTGTGCATCCAGATTCCTTTTTACCACTTCATAGTTCATTCTCTTCCTTTCAAATATCGTCCTCTTTGTAATTCCTTTTGCGTTGATCATCGTTGTCAAGCATTCTTTCAACAATAAGTTTAAATCGAGGGTGAAATGTACTTCTAGAGGGCAGTTTCGGGGTTCCTTATAGATCATTTAACCATAATCGACTAAAAAAACAAAAATTTTCGGACCACTACAAAGGTTACAACCCCTGCAATCGAGGATTTCTATGCATCTAACTGTGAATTTTCTAAAAAAAACTACATAAGTTTCAAACGAGGATGAAATTTAATTTTAGAGGGCAGTTTGGGGGTTGCTTATAGATCATTTAAACATTAACGATTAAAGAAACAAAAAAATTCGGACCACTACAAAAGTTGCAACCCCTGCAGTCGAGGATTGCTATGCATTTAAGTATGAAATTGCTAGAAAATTAATTAAGTTTAAAACGGGGATGAAATTTAATTCTAGAGGGCAGTTTCGGGGTTTCTTATACATCATTTAAACATAATCGATCAAAGAACCAAAAACATTTGGACCACTACAAAAGTTAGAACCCCTGCAGTCGAGGATAGCTATGCATTTAAGTATGAAATTTCTAAAAAAACTACGTAAGTTTCAAACTGGGATGAAATTTAATTTTAGAGGGCAGTTTCGGGGTTGCTTATAGATCATTTAAACATAATCGATCAAAGAAACAAAAACATTCGGACCACTACAAAGGTTACAACCTCTACTATTGCTATGCATTTAAGTATGAAATTTCTAGAAAATTACGTAAGTTTAAAACGGGGATGAAATTTAATTTTAGAGGGCAGTTTCGGGGTTGCTTATACATCATTTAAACATAATCGATCAAAGAAACAAAAACTTTTGAACCACTGCAAAAGTTACAACCCCTGCAGTCGAGGATTGCTATGCTTCTAAGTGTGAATTTTCTAAAAAACTACGTAAGTTTAAAACGGGGATGAAATTTAATTTTAGAGGGAAGTTTCGGGGTTGCTTATACATCATTTAAACATAATCGATCAAAGAACCAAAAACATTTGGACCACTACAAAAGTTAGAACCCCTGCAGTCGAGGATAGCTATGCATTTAAGTATGAAATTTCTAAAAAATTACGTAAGTTTCAAACGGGGATGAAATTTAATTTTAGAGGGCAGTTTCGGGGTTGCTTATAGATCATTTAAACATAATCGATCAAAGAAACAAAAACATTCGGACCACTACAAAGGTTACAACCTCTACTATTGCTATGCATTTAAGTATGAAATTTCTAAAAAATTACGTAAGTTTCAAACGGGGATGAAATTTAATTTTAGAGGGCAGTTTCGGGGTTGCTTATAGATCATTTAAACATAATCGATCAAAGAAACAAAAACATTCGGACCACTACAAAGGTTACAACCTCTACTATTGCTATGCATTTAAGTATGAAATTTCTAGAAAATTACGTAAGTTTAAAACGGGGATGAAATTTAATTTTAGAGGGCAGTTTCGGGGTTGCTTATACATCATTTAAACATAATCGATCAAAGAAACAAAAACTTTTGAACCACTGCAAAAGTTACAACCCCTGCAGTCGAGGATTGCTATGCTTCTAAGTGTGAATTTTCTAAAAAACTACGTAAGTTTAAAACGGGGATGAAATTTAATTTTAGAGGGAAGTTTCGGGGTTGCTTATACATCATTTAAACATAATCGATCAAAGAACCAAAAACATTTGGACCACTACAAAAGTTAGAACCCCTGCAGTCGAGGATAGCTATGCATTTAAGTATGAAATTTCTAAAAAATTACGTAAGTTTCAAACGGGGATGAAATTTAATTTTAGAGGGCAGTTTCGGGGTTGCTTATAGATCATTTAAACATAATCGATCAAAGAAACAAAAACATTCGGACCACTACAAAGGTTACAACCTCTACTATTGCTATGCATTTAAGTATGAAATTTCTAAAAAATTACGTAAGTTTCAAACGGGGATGAAATTTAATTTTAGAGGGCAGTTTCGGGGTTGCTTATAGATCATTTAAACATAATCGATCAAAGAAACAAAAATATTCGGACCACTACAAAAGTTGCAACCCCTGCAGTCGAGGATTGCTATCCATTTAAGTATGAAATTTGTAGAAAATTACGTAAGTTTCAAACGGGGATGATATTTAATTTTAGAGGGCAGTTTCGGGTTACTTATACATCATTTAAACATAATCGATCAAAGAAACAAAATCTTTCGGGCCGCTACAAAAGTTGCAACCCCTGCAGTCGAGGATTGCTATGCATTTAAGTATGAAATTTGTAGTAAATTACGTAAGTTTAAAACGGGGATGATATTTAATTTTAGAGGGCAGTTTCGGGGTTGCTTATACATCATTTAAACATAATCGATCAAAGAAACAAAGACTTTTGGACCACTACAAAGGTTACAACCCCTGCGAGTGCGATCGAGGATTGCTATATAGTTATGTATCAAATTTCTAAAAAATTACGTAAGTTTAAAACGGGGATGAAATTTAATTGTAGAGGGCAGTTTCGGGGTTGCTTATACATCATTTAAACATAATAGATGAAAGAAACAAAAACATTCGGACCACTACAAAAATTGCAACCCCTGCAGTCGAGGATTGCTATGCATTTAAGTATGAAATTGCTAGAAAATTAATTAAGTTTAAAACGGGGATGAAATTTAATTCTAGAGGGCAGTTTCGGGGTTTCTTATACATCATTTAAACATAATCGATCAAAGAACCAAAAACATTTGGACCACTACAAAAGTTAGAACCCCTGCAGTCGAGGATAGCTATGCATTTAAGTATGAAATTTCTAAAAAATTACGTAAGTTTCAAACGGGGATGAAATTTAATTTTAGAGGGCAGTTTCGGGGTTGCTTATAGATCATTTAAACATAATCGATCAAAGAAACAAAAATATTCGGACCACTACAAAAGTTGCAACCCCTGCAGTCGAGGATTGCTATCCATTTAAGTATGAAATTTGTAGAAAATTACGTAAGTTTCAAACGGGGATGATATTTAATTTTAGAGGGCAGTTTCGGGTTACTTATACATCATTTAAACATAATCGATCAAAGAAACAAAATCTTTCGGACCGCTACAAAAGTTGCAACCCCTGCAGTCGAGGATTGCTATGCATCTAAGTGTGAATTTTCTAAAAAAAACTACGTAAGTTTCAAACGGGGATGAAATTTAATTTGAGAGGGGAGTTTCGGGGTTGCTTATAGATCATTTAAACATAATCGATCAAAGGATCAAAAACATTCGGACCACTACGAAAGTTACAACCCCTGCAGTCGAGAACTGAATTACGTACGTTTAAAACGAGAATGAAATGCATTTCATGAGGGCAGTTTAAAACGAAAATGAAAGCGGAAACAATGAAACAAATGCCTGTGGACGTTTATTGGAAGAATATATGGCATTACCCCAGTGAAACTCTTGAATATGGGAGTACCTACCCATTTCAGTAAATAAAATAAAATGTATCCAGGAAAGCAGGAGAAAGAGGAGGATATAGAAGTGGTAGGTAGAGAAATTTGGAGAAGTTGAGATCACAAGAAAGGAGATCGAGCAGCAATTCGAAAGACTAAAGAAAAGATCCCATACTATGGAGATGGAGAAGCTGACCACGGAGCAGTTCAATCTCGCAAAAGCCGTGGAGAGGTCCTTATCTAACCGGAAGAAAGAAGCTGGGAGGATCCGACGGGCATCTGCGGAAGCTAGGGACGATGTCATCAAAAGAAAAAGGAGTGAGTTAGAAGCGCAGTGGGCTACTTTCAGTCAACGCCACTTACTTATCATGGCCCTGCCACAAGAGCTGGGACATGATTACTACGCCAAGGAGTTCTATAAGCGCTCGTACTTCGTCCTGCCAAAGGGAGCTTCGGTGGATCCGAACGGGACCACATGTTAAATGGAGACCAGCCAAGGGGAAACGTCCAATGGGGGAGCGATGTGAACAAATGGACGCCTAATCGCCACGATACGTGAAAGGCGAGGTTTCCAAGAAATACCTTCCCTGCCCAACCTGGGTGACAGGCACCTAGACTTCCGTAGACAGAAAATTAGATTTGATCCAGTTATAAAACTTATACCTACCTACAGAACACACGAGCCGAACTGGGTGAGGAACGTACCAACAAATGTTGGAATGTTAAAAAGACTGGGCTTCACCTGCTCTGGGACGACATCCAAGAAGCACAAGACGAGATTATGGTAAGCAGCGGATTAACTGGTATTTTAGAGATCCATTACGAAACTGCGAAGGACCAGATCATGATACCGAAAAAGAATCACTAGAGGAAAATTGCTGTTTCGATGCACTTTCGTATATCTACGAGGCAAAAAAGGAACTAGAAGTGAGTTGGATGGGTTTATGGCAAATAAAGAACGCCAGAAATGAAGATGAACCCCTACAATGCGTAGTTGTACCAAAAACTTTTTGGTTGCCAAAAAATGGCGAGACATATGTATGTAGTTGTGCAGACAAAATAAGTCATAAGGTCATAACGCCATCGCCAAAGAAATTTAAAAAAACGTTTCGTAGAATAATGAATTAGCAACATACTACAGTTATGAGTAATATTGGTGTATTTGTTTAATAGATAGTAATTGGAAAATATGAAAACTTGAACAAATATTGTTGTATTCCGATGACGTAGAGTAAAAAAGTAAACATAGGCAACGTCGTATTTCCCCGTAACGTCATGCAGAAATTTAATCAATGGAGAACGTTGAAAATTAGAAACGTTAACGGTTATCCGTCTCTTTTTCGCACGTCACAGTCGGTTAACCCGTTTTCTATTTACTACTTTCATGTGAAAACGAAAAAAAATGTCTGTCAATAATAAATATTTCATTCATTAAACTGTTGTTTGTAATGATAGTGAGTCGACTTGACATGTAAATATTAGATAAGCTGTACCTCTCTCTACGTGTAAAGTAAATGTAATTGTTGAAAGTTCAGTAATCTCAGTCTGTTAAATTAGTGCACGTCATTAGGGCATCATAGTTTTGAAATTTAAACATATTATCGATGACGTCCATCTAGTGACGTCCGCTGACGGATATTGTGCTGTGCATCCCAGGTACCTTATAAAACAAATCTCGTCAAATTCGTCAGTTGTTTCAATGACTCCATGTGAAACTGTAAATTTTCTAGATTACTGAGAACAGGATGACACCTCCACCGCCGTCCGATGAGACTGCCAGGAAGCGATCCGCTTCGGACTTCGTCTTTGGGAAAGTAATCGGCGAGGGCAGCTTTAGCACCGTTTATCTGGCGAAAGATATACACACGAATAAGGAATTTGCAAGTGAGTATTGTGATTGACGTAATTTCGATTTAAGGCTAGTGAGGTAGCGTTAACCCCCAATTGTAAACAAAACAGAAATCAAGTGCCCGTAGAACGTTCCACCGCGGTAGGATTTGAATGTGACCTACCAACAAGAAGGGATAATTTACGTGTCGGCCGTAGATTCACTGAAATCCTAAGCAGTAAGAGGTGTTCGAAGGTGTTCGAAACGTTTGAAAGTATAACGTCTCAAGTCCCTTCAGGAATAATAAATTACAAGGACTTATCGAGATTTTAGGGTATTGTTGATGTTGATTTATGTAAGATTTTAGTGTCCATCCCAGATAATTAGACAATTTTAAGAGACTGAGTATTTTTACTTTTTCTTAGTGTTTTGTTCGTTGACCCGTACTGAGATCTCAGCACTAGAGCTATACAAAGCTTATTGATGTTTCATTTGTTTATGTGACAAAAGCCAATTTGGAATGGTATTCAAAGTTCAACAATTCACCAATTTTGTTGGGGAAACAGTAAAACACATGGCATTGAAATTGGTCCACGAGGACCGAATTTTGTTTTTTTCTCGTCCTGGTACCCTTTTAGTGTCGGTTTGCATTTGCAATGAAACTGCCTAAAACAGGACCCAGACAGGAAATATATTTAGTTGCTGTTCCTGAAGGCAATGTGTGTGTGTCACTTTTTCCCTAACAAAATCGGTGATTAAATGCACTTTTTACGTTCTGACTTACCCGAGATGCAATTTCGGTGTGAAGTCGTTTTGATTTGAAATTTTGCTTGTGTGCCTTAGTAGTAACATTGGTAGTTAGTGATATTTATTTTATTGGCATATTATTCCGTGTATGCAGGCCTAGAAATATAAATAAACATTAAAGTGATATCTCATATTATCAAAGTAGTGATTATTTAAATAATTGTGGCAATAGATAAAGATGAAAATCGAATGCGTACCAAAAATACAGCACTTGGGCCTCGTAGAAGGCTGTGGTTTTTTAAGGACGGGCTCAAAACAAAAATCACGCTTTTGGAAGTGTCTTCAAAAAATGGTAAGTCTAGAGAAAAAACGTTCCAATGAAAGTTTATTATTTTCCGATGCAAAATAACAATATTCAATAAAACGTGTAGGTTTCTATTTGAAAAAAGCATCATTAAATGGGCTGTCCGCTAGTTTCCGCAATAATTAAGTGACATTCAAATATAAGATTACAAAACTGATAGTCGCGCAGTTTACCGCAACTCACAAAGCAAATGACCGCTACATACCAATTTGACTTGCTTATGTAGCTGCAGTTAAACCCCAATAAATCATCCCCTGAAACTGATATCTTTTCTAGATAAAAATGCTTGCTTCAAAACTATCGTATACTTATAACCCGCTATTTATTTTAGTTCTGTTACGTATTCCATGTTTCTTATACTCGACCAAAAATAAATAATTCTAATTATTTTGGGATTGTCGATAATTTTTTTATGATACATTCTCTCGTAAATACCTCGGGCCGGATCCCACGTTGTTTCGATTTGGGCATTTTTCTAACCGATCGTCAAGTAATTTTCGTATGGCCGGAATCACACTTGGCGTTTTTGTCCAATCGAATTTTTTACCGTCACCCCCTATATGGTCTAAGTGTAAGGTCCTCGACCTTTTTAACTCGTCGCCCCCGAGAATATAAATATCACTATTATGCCCTTAATACATAAATAACTAATATTAATTAAAATATCATAAGTACAAATACCTTCGTTTTTTTTATAATTTACGCCGCCGCTATTAAATTAAAGTACACGATCATTGCCGACCGCGTGACGTCACCTGCGCAACCCGAAACGTTCTTTCTCCGTGACAGCTGTACGTTTGCTAAAGTCACTAAATATAGAAAGTACCGCAATCCATTGGGCTCGTGTGTTAGAGAGAGAACGCATGATTTTTGCCCAAAAATGGCGGAAGTTACCAGAGTCTAGTAACTTTAATGTTAGGGAATGTTCCACCTGTTTGGAGATATCTGTATATATTTTTATAAAACATGACAGTACTATGAAGTTAGGTTATAAAAAATTACAGCTATTCAGATTTTATTTGTCAATTTTTTTAAGTTGGCTACAAATTTCCCAAAAATGGCGGATGATTGCGGTACTTTCTATATCTAGTGACTTTAACGTTTGCATTTTTACAGAGCCATCTTTTGCAGAATAGCTACATTATAAGAAGTACCGTAAAATTTACGACGAAAATTGACATAAAATTGAGTGTAGGTGCTGCCACCTACTCAACTAAAAATTTTAATCGCCGCCCTTCGATTGTTTTTTAAAAACCTTAGCACGCGAGATTTTTAGTACTAAACATGATTTTTTTGTTCTAGTAAAAGTACTAGAGAAGCGCCACATGATAAGAGAGAAAAAGATGGAATACGTCCTTCGCGAAAAGAAAATGTTGCAGATACTTTCGGGCTGCCCGAACTACTTCGTCAAACTATACTGCACGTTCCAAGACGTCGAGCGACTCTACTTCGTGTTAACCTACGCTAAAAACGGAGAGCTATTACCTCACATAACTAAAAACGGCTCCTGGAACTTAGAATGTACCAAATACTACGCCGCCGAACTCGTACTCGCCTTAGAACAATTGAACGCCAAAGGTATCGTTCACAGGGACCTGAAGCCGGAAAATATCCTGTTCGACGAAAACTGGCACATTCTCCTAATAGACTTTGGTAGTGCGAAAATAATGACCGCCGAAGATAAGAAGGAGAACGAGGAGGACGGGAAGAAACGTAAAAATAGTTTCGTAGGGACCGCTCAATATGTAAGCCCGGAAATTTTAAGAAATTTAGAGACTAGTTACGCTTCCGACCTTTGGGCGCTCGGTTGTATTATCTATCAAATGGTTTCTCGCCTGCATCCGTTTCACGCCGGTAGCGAGTACCTAATTTTCCAGAAGATTCTCAAGCTCGAGTACGAGTTTACAGAAGAATTCGACGAGACCACAAAGGACTTAGTAAAAAAATTGCTAGTATTAAATCCGACCAAGCGTCTAGGGGCAACCGATATTAAACCTTACTCGAGCATTCGCCAGCACGAATTTTTCAGCGATATCGATTGGGACAACATCGGTCCGCCCCCTAAGATACTGCCGTGTTCACCTAGTAAATCGTTAGATAAGGATAATAAAATACCCGATCATTTAGAGCCCGGTTTGGACGGCGAGAAAGCGTCACGTCTACAGCTCGACATGCTATGCCAGACCTCGGATACGCCGACAAGGAAAAAGTCGGAGGGTAATCGAAATTTAGCGAATTTAGACTCGTCGGAGATAGAGAGACGGTTAGAATTACAAAAATTAGACAAATGGCACAATTTAGTCGAAGGTAACTTAATTTTAAAGCAAGGTTTAGTTGATAAGCGTAAAGGTTTGTTCGCTCGAAGACGGATGTTGTTGTTGACTGTTGGACCAAATTTATACTACGTCGATCCCGCCACAATGGTACTTAAGGGAAGAATTCCATGGAGTGCTGAATTACATACTGAGCCAAAAAATTTCAAGATATTCTTCGTTCATACAGTAAGTATCGAGATCCATTGTTGTACAGTTTATAAAAGCCCCTTTCATTATTTTTCACTATTTTTGTAATTTTCAAATTTTCATTGGAGGTTTCCAAAATATTTCTGAATTACTTCATTACCAAAGTGATAGGTTACACACACCACATTCCCAGCATTTCAAAAACTCATCCAAAAAAACTTTTACGCATTAGAATTTTCAAACACGCTTTTCTATATTGTCTGCACATTTCCAAAATTCTCAACCAGTCAACCAGTTCGGTATAATACGTTAGATACTGACTACAACTAAGGGGGTTCCCAGTTCAAAGTTTAAACATGCAAATTTTGTAAGTATACAATGAGTCTCGTTCGTAGAGGAGCATTTCTGAAAGTGTCTCCTTCACCTTCTCAAGGTAGCATACCCCGTCACACCACATTTATGACAATTTAAAAAATATTCGACATTTTGAAAACCATTCCCGCGTTCCTGAAAAATTGTTCAATATTTTCGAAACACCTTCTAAAACATGTTTTTTAAATTGTCCTCCACTTTCGACCCACTTCCAAAATTCTGTAGGCATTTTCCTGCAGAAATTTTATAAACATTTGCAACCTTTTCAAATTTGTATAAACAATTCTATCATTTTCTGTATATTTTCAAAAGGTTTTGTACATTTTCAGAATGTTATCATGTGTCTGAAAGTCGTTGTTCTGCATCATTTTTGGAACGTTTGCAAAATCTCAAAAATTTTCAACATTTTCAAAATTCTATACACATTTCAAAATATTTCTAAAGAACCTGAAAGTTCGCTGTTCATTTCCAAAATCTCTCAAATATCCTACACATTTCTCTCGTATTTGCAAAATTTCATAAATATATACCAGGTGGTTTAAATTCGTAGTGCACTATTGGAATCTTTGTAACGATGAGAAATGCAGTGCCAAAGTTGCCCCTTTTAGTGACTAAAAAAAGCTTTTGTTATTTTTGAAAAACAAATTTAGGAACATTTTTAAAACTTTATAAAAAATTCCAATATATTCAAAATTCATTAAGACACATTTCTAAAATTATGTCATCATTGCCTAAAATTTCATGTGTGCCTGAAGGTTTGCCGTTCATTTCTGGAACATTTGCAAAGTTAAGTTTTTGTCAAAATATTCTATACTTATATGCACATTTCCAAAATTTTCTATTCATTTTTAAAATTTCTTATACAATTCCAAAATTGTTTATACATTTTTAAAGTTTTTGCACATTTTCAAAATTACCGCTTTCCCAAATCGTTTAATGTTTCAAAAACATTGCATGTTAAAAATTCTATGCACATTTCCTAGTTTCTTCATATTTTTAAAATTTCATAAAAATATCCATTTTTAAAATTGTAGTTTTCGAAATCATGTCTTTTTCGAATTTTCTACACATTTCTCAAAATGTCTTTCAAATTTCCTACACAATTATATCTCACATTTTTAAAATTTGACATAAATTTCCAACATTTTCAAATTTATAGAATGTGTATTTGCAAATATTTCTGACGTACCTGGAAGTTGGCTATGATTCGTGGAACATTTCCAAAATCTCTCCAATTTCTTACACACTTTGTCGCATTTTCGCATTACTTTTGATTTTGTAATCTTTTGGAGTATTGTTTGACCAATAAATATTATTATATTATTATTATTTTTAAAATTTCATAAAAATGTACAATATTTTCTGATGTGTGTTTGAAGTTCATTTTCATAATTTTAGGAACATTTTCAAAATCATATCTCCCAAGTGTGCAATATTTCCAAAACTCTATACTTTTCCGTCATTTTAAAAACTGTCTGATGTGTGGAAATTGGCTGTTCATTTACTATTTCCCTCGCTATTTCCTAAAGTTTCTTCGCATTTTCAAAATTTTATTAAAATTTCCAACATATTAAAAATTTTATACTTTCCTATAGTTTCAAAAGTTCTTGCATATTTCTGAAATTTTTTCTTATGTGAAACTCGGCGTTCAGTTTCATAAATTCTGGAACATTTTAAAAAATTTGTCGCTTGCCTGAAAGTTTATTTCCATCATTTCTGAATAATCATAAATTTTTTTAATTCATTTTCCTTTTTTAAGTGTCGCTACATATTTTAAAATGTCATAGAGATGCCCAATGTGTTCAAAATACTGTGGCCATTTTCAAAAATTTCTTATATGCCTGAAATTTTGCATTTCATTTTCATTTCTGGAACATTTCATAAATTATGACTTTTTCAAACTTGAGCAAACTAGGAAATTTGAGAAAGCCATAATTTAGAAAATGTTCCAGAAATGATTTTTAAAAATCATGTCTTTATATTTTGTACACATTTCTCAAAGTTCAACCTACAATTCTGGAGCTTGTGTTCAAAACTTAGTTAGATCTAGAAGGCGTTTTTGGCATGAGTGCAACTGGTTCTGTTTCCTTCCTCCGCTTCTCTAATGACAAGATTGTCTTCTGTTCTTCCTATGTACCACAGTTCAAATACTCCCCACACACATTTGATTATCAGTAGGGAAGAATTAACAAATTTGCTTTCATTGCAGCCAAACCGAACATACTACTTAGAAGATCCAGAAGGATACGCGTTAGAATGGTGTAAATCGATAGACGAAGTGCATGCCTACTACTTTCCGCAATCCGTTCTACCTTAACGATTAAATAAATTGTCATTTTGGGCAACTTAGTTCGCATTGTATTTATTTATATTAAATTATTTATACCTATATGTACTTTATATTTAACGAATTATTTTCATTTCCGTTTATTAATTTATTAGTTGTAAACGTTTTATGTAATTTCATTCAATAAAATTTGAACTTGGTGGTTTTAGTTATTTCAATGTTGGCAGTTAGGTTACTAGGAGAATTCTAATATGGCGCTAATCGAACAGCTTTAATAACATTTCTGGTGTTTGTATTAGTGATTTAATTACAGAAATTAGTGAAATCGGTGCTAAATTTAGTCGAGGAGCACAAAGCAGTTCGCTTTGGTCTTTCGAGAGATGCTGTAAGTATCAAACTTGAATAGTTTATAGTCCCTACCCGCCCACTCAGGTAGGATAAGGGACCAGATGATAATTAATTTCTGTTATTTTTGGATAATCTGTCTTCTTCGGCGTCTATTCTTAGACGTAGTGCTCAGGAAAACCTTAAATAATCGATCGCAATTGCCTGGACGCAACGTAACGACCGGCTTTTTGCTTCTTGGCGTAACTGTTATTGTTGTTGACATTGCTTAGCCTATTAAATTTATCAGAAAATTTTAGAATTGGAAAAACGGTTGTTTGCTAAATGAGCACACGTTCACATTTACTTTTCAGTTAATTATCCAGGCAGGCTGTGTAATAATTACTTTATTGCTAGCGGCAGGTTTTGTTTTTACTGCATATTCGCAGATTATTCTGAAGTCCTTGACACTTGGAATATTGTCACATTTACAGATGATCGAAACGATTTTAATGTAAGTAGATACATACATTTCTCGTTAGAGAAATATTATTAGCCTCAGAATTTACTTAGCTCTAATTTTATCGGAGCATTGCACGAGATGCTATAATCCGTTCGAAAATTCCAGATCTAGAAGTAGCAAAATGCTAAAAATAGACTCATAGTGGCGCCCGTTAGGTTGATTTTTACTTTTCAAATATTTTAAAGACTGGAGACTGGAGAGAAAATAAATACTTGCGTTGAATACTTTTGGTTTTACTCGATCAAGGCATAAAAAATCCAAGTACATTTTCGTCACATCAGATTTGAATGAATGACAAATGAAGTTAGCAGTAGCTATCCAGCGATAAGATTGCATATTATTAAATTTAGTGTGAAATTAGTAATAGCTATTGTAAATACCTCTGTAAATACGCAGAAATCCGCTAACCGTTTTCATGATATAATATGCTGTTGGCGTCCGTCTGTGTGTCTGAAGCCGAAACTCAGAAGATATTATGGTCCCTATTGAAGAAAAAGCTTAAAAAACGAAAAAAAAAACACCAAAAACGACTTCAGTAAAACTGAATTTTCCAGTACATTATTTGGTTAAATTTTGGAAATTTGTCAAAAACTATTACAGCATTAGAATCTACGGAAACAAATTGGTTTTTACATAATTTTATGTACGACTGCTTGATAATTCGGTGATTACAGTCGCAAGTAGTGGCCATAATTTGCAATAGTCCATAATGATAAAGTAAAACGACCGCCTGTCAATGTGACAGTCGTACTTAGGTGTCAATCCAAGGTAAATTCAAGTATTTTAGAAATACTTGACAAATGCTTGACATCTGTTGTCAAGGATATATAGATTTTATCGTTTATTGAATTCCATGATATTTTCATTTTTAAGGGTTGTTGCAGTCGTACATAAAGCTTTGTATATATCGCGCCCATAAATAGGCTTTATGGGGACTCGCCTTGTTTATTTGTTCTCAATAAACGGCTCGTCCTATTTATACGAAATAATAAAAATAATTGGAAGATATTGTTATTTTTCATATTCAATTCACCAGACCCAATCACAAAGATTCTTTAACTTTCACGTATTCAAATGTATCACGTAAAAAATTAAAAAACTAAAGGAAATCCAGGAATCCTTAAAAGATATCTACCTAATTTTTAAGTGAAGGCTTTCGAGAATTACAGCGATATTTATTATTAATATGTCCATTTTGATTTATATAAATAAAAATGGATCGCCGAAATCTATATACGCGTGTCATATCAGAGGGACTGCACCAAATTAGATAATTGATTTTGATTTTTTTGTTGTGCTAACGCGCAAAAACATGAAAATCTCGATGAAAATATAGTATATAGTATATAGTATATATACTTTTTAGTGCACTTTCACCTTCAAACGAGCCTTCAAAAAATAAAAAGTGCACTTTTGCGCTCTTGATGTCTGTCTGTCTGTACGTCTGTCTGGGTCAGCTCCGGAACTACACCACTTACAGACTTGCTATTGGTGTCATTCGATCAGAAATTAAAAATTATTTCATGTTTCTGTTCTCGTTAAGGCATGAAATGTCCATAAGGGCTATTAAAATCGAAAAAATAAATTTTAAAGCGCACTCTATGCTTCTTGCTCGCACAAGCGGCTTAACGAATTTTTTATTGAATTGATTTTTTTTTTCGAAATTGGTTTCTAGTCTATAACTTTTGATTGAGAAGTCTGATCGAAAAAGTACGAATTGTTTTGGATTCTACGCACCAAAATTAATAAGAAAAAGTGTTTTCCCGAGAAATTTTGGTGCAGTCGATTTTTGGTAAAAAAGGAAGGTTATACACTGCCTTTTTTTGAGGCCCGAAAAAAAAATTGCTCAGATCGACCCGGAAAAAAATTGTCTAATAAAATGTGGCCTGTCAATTGAATTTCAAAAATTTAAACATTTAAAATTCATTAGAAAATTCAATCTTACTAAAGTCGTCATTGGGGTTTTTTAATTTCAAACAGTTCCAAGATTGGGCTACTAGTTCAAAAGTTACAGCCCTTTGAATTTTTTTTCGAAATTGGTTTCTAGTCTATAACTTTTGATTGAGAAGTCTGATCGAAAAATTACGAATTGTTTTGGATTCTACGCACCAAAATTAATAAGAAAAAGTGTTTTCCCGAGAAATTTTGGTGCAGTAGATTTTTGGTAAAAAAGGAAGGTTATACACTGCCTTTTTTTGAGGCTCGAAAAAAAAAATGTCTCAGATCGACCCGGAAAAAAAATTGTCTTATAGAATGTGGCCTGTCAATTGAATTTCAAAAATTTAAACATTTAAAATTCATTAGAAAATTCAATCTTACTACAGTCGTCATGGATCTTTTTCAATAGGGACTGCTTGTTTATTTCATCAAAAAGTGCAGATAAAGACAAAAAAAAACAGAACTCGACGATAAATCTCTGAAGGTCAATTTTTATTTGAAAAAGGTTTTTTTGCTGAAAAAATTCTCGAAAACCTCTCAATTTTTTATATTGAAAAAACCGAAATTTTGAAAGTGACTGGAACATAATCTTGGGCCCTAATTCGGACTCATTAAACACAAAGCTAATTAAGTAATTACGAGGCTAATCATTTACATACCACAAATTTATTTGACAAAATCAATCAATAAAGCTGAAATAAAAATAGGCACTCAGCGCCAGTGTACAAATACAACGCACATGCGTTCGATTCTAACTCGAAAGACACACACTTAACCTCGCACTTAACTTTGTAAACGTGAACAATGCTGGAGCTTAACTCGAATTATACTTAACGTTCCCTTTATAATATATATCAAAAAATTTCACACCAACTTTCTTCTATAACAGACTTTTATAATCACAAAAACTGACTGTCTTTGAAAAACAAACTCAATTACGGCTGAATGTCGTACACTAAAAATGCGCCCACCAAACAAAAAGCTACGTTTGCTTCCCTTCTATACCTTGGGCCTCCACTTCTTTATCAAAATTAATGTGTCGTCCATAAAAATAATAACAATCTTTAGGTATTTGTCATTCCACCAATCCTTGGCTTCGACACGTCATTGACACATAGCATCTAATTAACAAATATGCACATATACATAAAATAAAATAAACAAAGACAGTGATGCATGCAAGTAATAACACAACAATAGGGTGTGTTTAGGTGTTCGCTTACAGAGTAAAAGCAGTGGTTCAGAAGATGGTTTTTAATAGTATTTTTAAACTGTTTTGACATTTAACAGGATCTGGAAGATAGTTGTAGGTACGATTCAACTCTTGGACTATATTTTTGGATTTGCTTTGATGACAATCATAATGGTACAGAAATCATTATTCAATTTCTAATTAATTAAAATCTGTCCGGCAAATCCACAATAAAAACCGCGAAATAGATTAATTGATCGAATCAAGAGTCCACATCCCAAAGAATTTATTCAACATTCTCAGAGATAATCAGAATTAGTTCCCGAAAACATCATCAACCAAACTCGCCAGTATTTCGCAACGTGATTAAATTACAGCATCCGTGAAAGGAACAGGAGAAATTCACAATGGTCTATCCAAGATACAAACCACGCGCGACATTACCTAAGATAAGTATCCATTTTACTTTAACCAACCAAGATACAAACCACACGAAGCTAGAATATGAACCCATTTAACCTTAGCCAAGAGCCTTACGCACAAACATCCAAAAAATCAACACAAAACAAGATCGCCCATTAGTTACGTTACCGGGGGGGGGGGGGGGGGATCCCCTTCACCACGGGCACGACCTCGCACCACAAAAAGTTTATCAATGAAACAATGAATACCGTACTTGCAATACTTATATTAATCTCGTATTTAATGTTGTAATTGATTTACCCACACCATCCCTTAAATAACTACAAAAAACTAATACGCGCGCCCTTCATGGAGATATTTGAAACTTAGTCGCTCGTCTTTGGTTAACGTAATGGGGTCTGACAGATCCAATTACTCTGTAACTAGTTTTTGAATATTCAAAAAAAATTCAACTGAAAGTATTTTCAAAAAAGCTTATTTATGTACCTACATTTTTTATAGGTTTATTGATTGATATGTACATAAATTTAATGTAAATCGCAACATTTCAAATAATTAGTGTCCTAACACTCCTAAGTTGGACTGGTCTATTGTAACGGACAATATTTATAAATCATCCCTGCTAACGATTATTGAATTTAAAATTAAAAACCAAAAATGTCTAAATCTCGGTCTAAATAGTTCCGATTATTAAGTAACAATTCGTAATCTTAAAAACAGAAAATTTCGAACCCAAGCCTTTCAAGGCGGTTTAGTTTTTTCTTGGAAATATCGGAAAAATTTGCACAATTTACGTAATCCGTCGGAAGACGAATTTGGCATTGAAAATGAATGAAATGAAATGCGACACCGGCTTGCGTTATGTGGGTTATCGTCCACCTCGTCGTCCACGAATCTTTTTGACGGGAGGGGGGAGGGCGAGGATGGCGTCTTCCAGTGGCTTGATTGCTGTTCGGTTTCCGAGTCGTTCTGGATCGGTTTCGGA